CTTCTCCTCTATTCCCTTCCGCAGTCACAGCGGGCGTGTCGTGGACGCAAGTGACGAGGCGGACGATGTTGGCTGGAGTTGTTGCCGATAAGTAGCTGTAGACGTAGTCATGTATGGCTGAAGATCCTGGGTTGGTGCTGAAGTCGGCGTAGCAGGCTTGGAGAAGGCTCGGACCTGCGGCAGATCAGATCGCGATGATTGTGTGGACGCGTCTGCGTTTGCAGAAGTGGTCCTCGTATCGGCTCCGGCGCACGTCTGCGTTAACAAAGAGGCTCTTCAGAAGCCGGAAGCTCGATGTACCTACTTATTTTTTTAATGTTGAATCTTCCCCCTCTTCACAACGTAACTTTCGGCATAGTATATAGAGATAGATTTCCTCTTTGTTAACGAAAATTAGCCACATGAACTTCATTCCCTTGTTTTTGAATTCTGAAGCTTCCTCCTCTTGCTTCTATTACTTCGACATATATTGAGATAGATTTCCACTTCGTTAGAGAAAATTAAGATGAGATCGCATCCAGTCAAGGAATTTGGAAGAATATTCAAATGTAATCTCAACCTAACTAGCATAATGGCATATAGATATATAGAGTAGCAAGCTTGCGTTGCGATTAAGGAGGCTAATTAAAACAAGCCGCTTCCACAATGTTTGTTTGACAAGCTAGTGTCGACAAGCATTATTTTATTTTATCCCAGCAATGCAAAAGAAAGAAACAATACAAGAAGCATGAGCACTACAAGTATAAGTTTTTTTTCCTTGATGGGAAGTAAAGTGAAAGATAGATGAGGGGGAGGCACAGATCTTCTAGCACCCAAATCAAATCAAATCAAATCAAAATTTGGTGTACGTGGCGTATGCTACTACTTGCAACAACGTACATGTTGTTATCCCGCAAAAAAAAAAACGTACTTGTTGTACTATAAATAACCATGCAACACCCAAGCAGTTCCTACACCACCAAGGGAAATCACTCGCTCGACCTGAATGAATCCCATGGTCAATGCCACCTGCTGCTCTTCCTCATCTTGGCTCTTCTCTTGCCCGAGGCGCGTGCGGCTTCGTGCCACCCCGACGACCTCCGCGCGTTGCGGGGCTTCGCCGGGAACCTCAGCAGGGGTGGAGTCCTCCTCCGCACCGCGTGGTCCGGCGCCATGTGTTGTGGGTGGGATGGCGTGGGATGTGACGGTGCCACCGGCTGCATCACGGCACTGCGCCTCCCTGGGCGCGGCCTTGTGGGGCCCATCCCAGGAGCCTCCCTCATGGGCCTTGCGCGGCTAGAGGAGCTCGACCTCAGCTACAACGGCTTGCACAACATCTCAGGGGTGATCTCCGTGTTGCGTGGGTGCCAGAACCTCACGACGTTGATCCTCACCAGGAATTTCGGCGGCGAGGAGCTACCCAGCGATGGTATTATTGGTGGGTTCAAGAGCCTCATGGTGTTGGACCTTGGCGATTCTGCTCTCAGGGGCAGGGTTCCGAAATGGTTGTCTCAATGCAAGAAAATGGAGGTGCTTGACCTGTCCCGTAACTAATTGGTCGACACTATCCCCTCGTGGATTGGTAGGCTTGACCACCTTTGCTACTTGGACCTCTATAACAATACCACTGGATGGCGAGGTACCCAGGAGTTCTAAGGGCCTCAACACCACTGGATGTTCACAGGATATTGATTTCACTAACATGTCATTGTATCTGAAGCGCAACGGAAGAAGCAGACTTCGCCGACAACGTAAGCATGCCCCAAATGTCATAGCTGGGACCAACAACATTGTCAGATCTGGGAGCAACACCGTTATGGCCGGGAATGACAACACTATCATATTTGGGAATGACAACGCCATATCCGGGAGCTACCAGGTCGTATATGGAATAACCATGTCGTAACTGGGGATAACCATGTCGTATCTGGGAGCAACAATGCCGCGTCTGGGAGCCACCATGTCGTGATTGGGAAACACAATATTGTATCTGGGACCCACAATGACGTAGGTGGGAGCAGAAATATCGTATCTGGTAGTAAAAATGTTGCATCTGGGAGCCACAATACCGTGTCCGTTAAGAACCATTTCGTAACTGGGCACAACAAAGTCGTAACCTGAGGTTAATGGCTGCACACATCATAGCATAAGTGTGCGCTGCAGCGTTCGTATGTCCTTGTTGACACACGATGTACTCGCATATATGATAAAGAATAAATAAAGAGACTCTTATATTCAGAGCAAAACTGATGTATCAAGAATTTTAATAGCTTGAATGACATATCCAAGTTAAACTCATGTATGTATGTATGTATGTATGTATGTATGTATGTATGTACGTACGTACATAAAAGGAAAAGGAGATGTGTCCCTTCCTCTGCATGCCACTCACACGACTAACAAGACTTTACTTACACATAGGCAAAGAACGCATGTCCTCTTCCCAGGGTTATGCTTTGCTGCAAATCCATGCCGACCTACCATACATACCTCTATCATTTCATGCCATGCACTGCACTACACGCTTTCCATCATTGTTCTTCTCACAAGTATGTACATAGTAAACAATGAGTAGATACAACGCCAAACAATATCAATCTCCATCGGAGCCATTGTGGACAAATGCTGCCTCCGCAGCAGCAGCCACAAACAGTAGGTCGAAGCCACGCCTGTCGCATCATGCACTGCACCAGGGACAGCTGCGTTGCCATCTTTGCCAATACGCTAAGGGATGTGTGTGTAGCGTTAGGATCAGCCGGCCTTAACAAGATGCATGATGGTGCCGCAAAGCTGTTTGGAACAAGTTGGTGGTGGTGGTGCTGCAACACTGGAAACCGCACTGCTGCAACACTGGAAAGTGTTGTTCCAAATCGTTCTCATGACTGTCCAGAGGAGGATACCCTGTTAAGGGGGATATCCTGTATATGTCCTCCTCTGCTTGGATGCAAATTGTTAAGTATAACACCGCCGTTCACGTCGAGAGAATATTTGCTGGAAACGGTGAAAACCACGGTTAAACTATCTTTTGAAGTTCCAAAAAATTCTCAAGAAAATATAGTATGTCGAAGAGATGCCTTTCTATAGACATGGTAAACTCCAAGTTCGAACACAAATTTATCTACTAGGTATAAAAAAACAAATTCAAGAATGAATAATATCGAATATTATGCATAGTATCACACTAGTATAATATGCATGATACTCGTGTATGATAACATGTAATGGGTGGTATTATAAACTAGTATCATCCATATGATACTAGTCTATGACACAACCTTCACAAAGCATAATATTATAGAGTGAAAATCTTATTTAATTGTTTGTAGAATCCTAATAAGAATCTGTGGACAAGATATATTTGACACTATGTTTTCTCAATTTACATGCTATGATATGGCATCATATTATCATACTCCCTCTATTTCTAAATATAAGCCGGCCACGTGTACCAGGTCACTGTCCGCTACAACTAGTGTAGGGTGTTTTTTTAGGTTTTAGTCGAACGGAAGAAATATTGTCTGTTTTTATAAAATTATGTCCGAACTTAAGTGAATTCCATCGTGTTTGCAAGAACATGGTTCAGTTTGTCCAAATTTGCTTTGAAATGTATGAGGACGCGGTTGGATGGCCGGCTGCCGTATCACTGTCTGCGGACGCATCCGCAGACAAATGCAACGTTGGTTTTCGGGTATCCGCATTGGAAATGCCCTTGTTTTTTTAGAAACTTTTAATATATTCATCATCTGTTGCACTTTTTTTTCATTAATAGTTTCATTTGGGAAGAAGGTGAGACGTTTGGACAAATTTGGACCAAGCTAGTTTTAATCCTGTGAGCCAAGAGAAAAACAAGACAAACAAAAGCCTAAGTCTAGCCCAGTTAAACGAAAAAAAAAAGACACTGCACGTACGCTGGATAGCCACAATCGAACGGAGAAATGAACCAGATGTGTGCTACGTACGCCAGCCAGCTACGGGTCGGCTGGTAATTCCCGGTGGACTTAGCTTTAGTTTCTTTTTCTCTAGAAACTTTCAATCTATTCATCGTCTCTCGTATTTTAATAGTTTCAATTTTGGGCAAAGATGGTGTAAATAGAAAGACAAATCCTTGCGTCAGTACTTTGTACGCCAGCTTAAGATACCAAGAGACAAACATGAATGGGCCACGACAAGTAAAATATAAGCCACCCACTAATTTCAGTCGATCAGCCATTTACTTGTAGTACGTGGCCTGGCCACTCACTACCACTTGCAACGCCACACACTATAAGACACCATGTACCACCCAAGTAGTTTGTACACCAAGAGTGAGCACTTGCCAATCACTCGAGCAGAATGAATCCCATGGCCAAATGTTACCTCATGTTCTTCCTCCTTTTGGCGCTTCTCTTGCCCGAGGCGCGCGCGACTTCGTGCCACCCCGGCAACCTCCGTGCGCTGCTGGACTTTGCCAGGAGCCTCAACGGTCGGGGTGTCCTCCTCTGTGCCACGTGGTCCGGCGCCGCATGCTGCAGCTGGGAAGGCGTGGGCTGTGACGCCGCCAGCGGCCGTATCACGGCACTACGCCTCCCCGGGCGAGGCCTCGAGGGGGCCATCCCAGGAACCTCCCTTGCAGGCCTTGCGCAGCTCGAGGAACTCGACCTCGGCTCCAACAACTTTCACAACATCTCAGGGGTGCTCACCGTGTTGCGTGGGTGCCAGAACATCACCACGTTGATTCTCACCAAGAATTTTGGTGGTGAGGAGCTACCCGGCGATAGTATTATTGGTGGGTTCAAGAGCCTCGAGGTGCTGGCCCTTGGTGATTGTGCTCTCAAGGGCGGGGTTCGGAATGGTTGTCTCAATGCAAGAAAATGGAGGTGCTTGATTTGTCCCGCAACTAATTAGTCGGCACCATTCCATCGTGGATTGGTGAACTGCACCACCTTTCCTACTTGGATCTCTCAAATAATTCATTGGTTGGCGAGGTACCTAAGAGTTTGGCACGACTAAAGGGCCTCGCCACCGCTGGGCGTTCAGAGGGCATGACTTTCACTAACATGCCATTGTATGTGAAGCATAACAGAAGCACACTTGGACAACGACTTAACGAGCTCCCAAATGTCATAACAGGGACCAACAATGTTGTGAGATCCGGGATAAAGAATGTTGTATCCGGAAACGACAATACTGTCATATTTGGGGATGAAAACACCGTATCTGGGAACAACCATGCGGTATATGGGAATCACAACACCGTATCCGGGAACAACCACGTCGTATCTGGGAGCAAGCATGTTGTATCTGGGAGCAGGCATGGTGTAACTGGGAGTAGCAGTGTCGTATCTGGGTTCAACAATGGCGTATCTGGGATCAACCATGTCATATCTGGGAGTAACAATGTCGTATCTGGGATGAACCATATCGTAGTTGGGAATAACAAAGTTGTATCAGGAGCTTAATTTTATATATAATTAAGCCCTTATATACACATATTGCCTCCTCTTGAACTTCTCAACTATTTGAGGAGTTGAGATGAGATTATGTTCAGCCCTTGTAGTTTGTTTTTCTGCTATACTCCCTAGGCCATGAGATACTATTCGATAAATAAGGTACATAAGTTGCCACACGAGATGTGCCTGCCTATGCCTCGCATATGTTGTAATAATCGAATCTTTATGGTCCAATGTATTGTGTATCGAGAAATATATTATGGTTTGACTGGTATGCCAAGTTGTATTGTGTATCGGGAAAGACGTGATCTCCAAGCTGGTGGTGTGTGGCAACTTATAATTCCTTGCCCTCTTGGAGGTGTTGTCTCTCCTTGTTTTATATACTCCCTCCGTCCCAAAATAAGTGTCTCAACTTTATACTAGCTCTAGTACAAATTTGTACTATGCTTAAGACATTTATTTTGGGACAGTGGGAGTATTATGCTTTAATCCATCCATACATTAAGAGGGTGTTCGATTGCCTCCATCGTTTTTTACTTTGCATACTTGTCTCAGTTAGGTCTGACTGAGCAGATGCAGGGTAAAAATTATGTTGTGCACATCGTTTGGTAGGCTGCAAATAGGTTGGCTGCATTTAGGAAGCAATTTTTGTCTTGCGTTTGGTGGCCTACATTGGTAGGGCTGATGCACTACGCGGTGTTTGATTGTATACACTGAACATGGTTAAGAGTTAACAGCTACACATGACACATGGATTTATACTAGAGTGCCTTGATGACTATCGTGGACGATGGTCACGGCACCACATCCGACACGATGAGAACGGAGTTACGGGCAAGCGATCCCATTGACGGCATGGCGAACCACTTGCTAGCGTTGTCGCCATAGGGAAAAACCATGAGAAGGGACGAGAAGGAGGGCGCCGAGGCAGAGGACGGTGAGGATAAATATAGTGCGCATGCCATGGCGGCGTCAGTGTAGTAGGACGCGGAAGAGGAGGCCATAACGCAGACATCGGCGGCTATGTAGTAGGATGTGGGAGAGGGGGCCGAGAGAAACTACGTCGTCTGCGATGCCAGTGTAGTAGGACGCGAAAGAGGATGCAGAGGGAACGACGTTGGCGACGGTGCCAGTGTAGTAGGACGCGGGAGAGAGGTCGGGAGGAGCAATGCCGACGGTGTCGTCAGTGTAGGAGGACACGTGAGAGGAGGCTGACAGGAACGACACCGACAGTGACGCTAGTGCAGCGGGACTCCTGAGAGCAGGCCGAGAGGAACGAAATATAAATCCACTTGTCTACGGTGGTGAAACAGAAAAAGTACAACAAGAAAGTCATGTGAAACTGCAAGATGACTTTGGCAAAATTCATACAATATAGCTCCAAACATGAACACAAAATTAGACATTTGATGAACGAAACTATGAGTCGATCACCTGAATGGAACCACATCGATGTGCTTCTTTTTCATAAACCTTATCTTGTATCGAAACACCATTGTGCACATTAGAAGTGACTAATAAGTGGGCGAGATTACGAGTTAAACCAACAAACCACGTGCAACCTCAAGTACACCACATATCTGGCCGCACGAGGATGCATCGCTAGAGCCACCCACATGCGCTCTTTTGCTTCGCCTGAGCTTGGATCGCTGGAGATGGCTAAATTGAGCGCCTCCAGTGGGTCTACCTCAGAGGCTAATATCTGTAAGAGTAGAGCTTTGGCTTAGTGGTTGAATATGCGGTTATGCAGCCTAACGGCCTGAGTTTAATTCCCAGAATTGACACCCTCATGTATTGAGGATTAAGCTTGGTGTGTGGTGAAACCACTCATTAAGAAACATCTTGATACTCAGTTTTAAAATTTTGAGGATCAAGTTTATCTTGGTACTCATGCTAAAATGGTTGTATGCATCCTTAATTGGTGCAGAGGCCAAAAAATGAAAATATCTCTTTTTTTTGCAGAGAGAGACTTGGCTCAGTTGTTTGGTATGCGGTTGTGCAGCCTAACGACCCGACTTCAATTCTCAGAATTGACAGGTGATGCACAGGGAATTTTCCCCATTTATTAAGGACCAAGCTTAGTGTGTGGTGGAACCACTCATCAAGAAATATCTGGATACTCATTTAAAAATTTCAAGGGTCATGTTTATCTTGGTACTCGTACTAAAATGGCCATATGCATCTTAGTTGGTGCATAGGCTGGGAAGTGAAAATATCTCCATTTTTTTGCAGAGAGAGCCTTGGCTCAGTCGTTGGGTATGTGGTCGTGCAGCCTAACGACCCGAGTTCAATTCTCAGAATTGACAAGTGATGCACAGGAGCTTTTTTCATTTATTAAGGATCAAGCTTGGTGTATGGTGGAATCACTCATCAAGAAATATCTTGATACTCATTTAAAAAAGTCTGAGGATCATGTTTATCTTGATACTCATACTAAAATGGTCGTATGCATCCTTAGTTGGTGCAAAGGTCAGGAAGTGGAAATCTCTC